ATGGACAATGAAGAAGCAGAACGAGCTGGTGCAAGACGCTTTGAACGAAAGATCGGGAAACCTTTGGGTCTACAGTGGATAAGAGAGCGGATCAATATCAAATAAGCCCGAATGAGGAGCTGAAGAACATGCACAAAATACCGAGTTTAGTAGATGCAATTAAAGCGCAGTATCAAGAGGACATGGGAGCAAAACCGTGTGAGAAGGAGACGTTTCGGAAGACCAAGAGGGAGGGGCCTATCGGAAATGATGTAAAAGTCTCAGAAGTACGGGATTGGAAGGAGGTTGTGACGCTACGAGAAGAAGAAGAACACCCGAGCATATGAGTCTACAAGCCCACAACTTGGTGTCCCTTTAAACGCAAAATCTCGCCAATTTTCCTCTAAGTGATTTGCTTTGTCTGACTGTCGTCCCCTCTTAATATTATCTACTCTTTGGCCTGGAGCAGACTCCACATGGTGTTAGTGATGAAAAGGAGAAAATAAAACACTCTTGCTTAGCCGGGGGGATTTTGGGGGCCCATGAAGAACCTGTTCGAATTGACATTCGCCTGGATCTTCTGGTCCTAAGTCACTAGTTCAGTCGTTACACCCCTAGTAATACGAGGCGCAAGCCCATTTGCGTCATACTCTTCACCTGGCGTCCGAAATCGCTGTTTTTCAACTTTGAAGTTGGCAGTGCGCTCTCATCGTTTCTGTTGCGGGCATCGCGACGCCGCCGTCCAATTCGCGATTTGTCGTCGTCTGTTTGGCGATTTTTATTGGATAGCATGAGGTGGATACATTGAAAATGCCAAATCTCTTCATATAGTGCAGTGCTGTGATTGGTGGCTGGCCGATGGGCGAATTATCGAAAATGTATAGTGAGTATTCGTCTTTTTGCAACACTCGCACAACACGCCAATTAAAAAAATCAGTTCGCACTAACCTTTGTAACATATCGCTCCTTAAGTAACCAAGCTGGCCGTTTGATTGTCTGGGTTTTAAGTACAAAAATCAATGTTGTCTTAGTGGAATCCCAGCAATGCGATTCTTTGAACTCACTAGCAAAACATCTCTGTTAACTATCTGAGTGGTTACTCAGTCTGATTTGACAATTTCCCAATCAGTACAGAACCCAATACTTCCGGCTACAACAATTCGTCTTCGAAAACACCCCCACAAGAAAACGGTTTTCCACAAGGAAAAGCCCGTTTCGCGACTGAAGTGGAAATTAATTCGGCGGCTGGGCTTCGATGGCATTGTAATGGCTTTTCGATTCGAGTTAACTAATTCAATTTCAATGGGAATTCTTTAATTTTGACGTCAACATCGCAGCGAACGCGCCGCTAATTAGCCAAGATTGCAATTGATTGAAATCGATCGATCCAGACATTTTTTTTTCGGTTCACCAAATCGAATTCCATCATTTCAGCGTTAGTTCGGCAGTGCGCTGGACAGTCGTCAACCGACCGAATGGAAACTTCGTGCAATTTCCGAAATTGCTTTGCAAAACCAATTCGAACGATGAAAAGAACCCCTTTTATTTTTTTGGTCGCGTTCCGGTTCCATGCCGCGGCTCAAAAAACGCACCTTTTGTATACACGAATTCATAATTCTTTTACGAAACTTACATAAAGGAACTGATTAATATCTTAACAAGGCTTTGTAGGAGTGGATTTCATTTATCATTCATGACAAGACGAGCGCTGTTATAACGAAGTTTTTCCTCAACAAAAGGTGGAGTTTATTAAGGGCTCTTAATGGGTTCCGCCCATGTGATAATTATGGAGGAAAGTCGAAATTAATTCTGAGCACTTTGCCTTGGCAGTGATATCGATTCTCGCGGACTGTCAATTTTTCTGGTTCTAGATTTTGAGCTCACATTATTTCAGAGGGCACTTGGGTAAATTAAGCTGTATTTTGCTCTGATTTGTGTGCGGCTGAAGTCTGCTAGTAACATGACTGACAAGCACAAAAGTGAGCCTTAAGTTTGCGAAAGCTCTCGCATCTTGGCGGAAATTGTTTAGAAAATTCCCGACTGAAAAACTGCCTGGAAAGGGGGCACATTTCTGACAACAAGGATGTTTGCAGTAGCGCCGAATTAATAATATCCGCTGGTGGAAACAGGCATTTGCCCAAGTCTTGGGACCTTTACGAGTGCTCATTAACATTCATGTCGAGCTCTCAGCATTCGCCCGCATTTGAAATCGTTTCCCAGGATCGCGTGACAAGTTCTGTTTACTTGTATGTACTTTCAAGATCTACTTACACCTGAACCGTAAGCAAATACGAGCGGCGGGCATGCAGATTGTTTCGACGTGGAGGCAAAGCGGAATTTAGCGCCGCATCTACTGGGAGACTCGCTTTATTCGCTTGCAGGATCTAATTACCTTCAATCGGGGTCCAAATACTCGATAAATGCTGTTTCATTATGTTTGCATTTTGTTCCTGGCGTTTTTTTTATCCCGGTGTTACACTCGGCACTTTTCCCCGATTTATTGGCCAATAAAGTGGGCCACACACTTCAGTACAAAAAACTTGTTTGATTGAATGTCTTTGCTTATGCCCCCAGAGACGCAGATAATTTTCCTCATTGCGTACTAACCTTTTTAGCAACATTGCAGGCAGCACAGATGTGCAACATCAAGTTGAAAATTGATAGTTTTCCCCAAAACAGGGCAGAATCAGTTAATATAATTTCGAATATTGAGCTGAAAAAAGCTGTTGAAGTTGCGAACAAGGCAGCGTTTCAATGCAACGAAATCGTTGATGAACACGGAGATCAGAATCCTCATGAACAAAACCTAAAATCTAATTAAAAATGGTTTAGGTTTTTCACACACCTAAAAATGAACTCATACCACAGAAATTATACAGAAAAGCATGGATGTTATGGCATCCTTACTGACGCAATTTTTTACTTGTAAAACTTGCAAAATGAAGCAGAACAATTCACCAAATGTTTAGTTGTCACTTTGCACTAAATGTTGTTAGCACTTTTATCAATGTTCCTCTCAAACAATTCGGGATTTATTTTGCTTCTAAAAAATGCGGTGACCCTTTTTTGCTAGTTCCAGCGCTGAGCCTCGTAAAGCTTTAATCCGCCCCTGCTTTAAATGCTACGCGTAATTAAAAGTGGGACACAGTGAGACGTGATGAGTTATAACGAAAAACTCTGAAAATATTCTCAGAAATATATATAGATTAGACATCATTCTTAGCAGCTTTGCTGCAATTTCTGCCAGCTGGCGCCCTATCCTCCATTTTCTGCCCATTATCTTCAAGTTCATTACACTTTCACAAATTACCGCACTTGCCTTAAGGTCCACAATTATTCTATATTTCCCATCTAAGAACGCGATTCACGCCACACAAAGGCTAATCGACCGATTTCGTCCACTGTCGGTAGCAAACTGAACATTCAAACATCTCTTAGAGAAAAAAGACACCAAACTTAAAAAAACAAGATTATTTACTTAATAATATAATTGTTCGCCCTTTCGATAATTCACGCGTTACTTGGCAGGTCGATTTCAGTTTGTTTACTGTTGGCATTTTTGTAGAAAGTGCCTGTTCGCATTGCAGTATTTCTAAAGGCAAATTTCACGTTCCAACTTAGCGAAAGTCAACAACAACCGAAGAAAAAATGCTGCAGGCGCCGGTCTTTCACTAATTTAATTTTAAATTTGGAGCCATTTTTATTTGCAAACTTGTCTTATCCGAAAGTTAAGTTTTCGAGTTCAAAAACAACGGACATTTTCGGGCTTTTCAAATATTGATCTTTTGTCCGAAATTTCTTAAGCAAAAATTGTGTACTTGGTTTAAGTCGATGTCTCCCACTGTTTTTGAGATTTTTTACAGTGAAACCACTAGTGATTTTTCGAACTGACTCACATTGAATCCCTGATATTGTCATAAATTAACATTCCTAAAATGCTCCCAGGACAGACTTTGTTTTACAGTCAGTTAGGGGCTAAACGAAATATGTTACCCATTGCAGTAAATTGCTTATTGAAAAAGTCCCAACATATCTAATTTTCGACAATAAATAAATGCATCTGTTGAGTCTCAGTTACAGACTATACGCTAAAAGTCCTACGCCAGTAACGATTTGGCGCAGTTGTGTGGACGTCCAGTTTCCATTGAAGCACTTGTATCCATTACGGCATAATTACAAATTAAATTGGCAACAGTCGAGGTGTCGGCTGATCCATCGACATGTCAATATCGGCGCTTATTTATCGGGAATTACTCCACATAAAATATGTTGGATATCGAAAACATTCGGCAAAATTCAATAGAAGGATAATCGAGGCCCAAAATAGACTAAACTAGTGCCATTTGCATTCGCGATTCGACCCCTCGATAATTCAATAATGCCGGACATATGTTATAGGATGGAACGTATCTCGGCAAGCGATACGATTTGATTTATACGTTGCATTAGCTGACAGGCAAATAGTTTCTGCTTACCGTTTCGGAGATTTATCATTATTTTCATTTCGATTCGGTCTCTGCATGCGACAAAACTGACTGCCAGTATTTTATTACTGCCGGGATCAGCGATTGATTCCTCCGAACATCCACGATTTTCAATTTAGACTAGAATCAGTCGCAAGAAGCAAATTAAGCCGAAAATATCTCATTAAACCTCATATTGGTCTTTATAACGTAATTTTACGGCCCTAAGTAGGGTGAGAACATTGAAAAGGCCCAGTTATATCGGCATTCTGGGGCGGGGAAATAATAGAAAATTAATTACAGGTGGAAGATACCCATTTAATTTATTATGCATGGTTACTAAAATGCCCTGCACACAACTGTTCATCTTCGGGGATAACAAGTATTTACATCTTCGTACTGTTTCATGCTACACATTTCTGCAAAATCAGGATCTAGTGCGACTGCAGTGAAATTTTCGGGATTTTTTGACTCATATGTCTTCTATAGACTGAGCAAGTTTCAGGTTGCCACTGGTTGTATGTTAGAAGTTAGCAATTTTTCAGTCATAGCGCAAAAGCACCTATTTTTAGACCAACTTTTTGAAATCGGCAAAAATTAGATTTAGAGTGATTAGAGTGAAGTTTTCAGAATTTCTGGACTCATGTGTTTTCTATAGCGGAAGTTTTAAGTTGATATCAGCCGCAGATTAAAAGTGAGGCATATTTAAATCATAAGAAGGTTTTGTAGAAAAACGTCTATTTTTAGACTAACTTGTCCAAACCGACAAAACTCAGTATTTAGTGCGATTACAGTGAAGTCTTCAGGATATCTAGAGTCACATGTCTTCTATAGACTGAGGAAGTTTCGAGTTTCTATCGACTGTAGATTAGAACTGAGACGATTTTCAATCATATGGAGCATTTGTGAAAAACTCCCATTTTTAGACTGACATTTCCCCAACCCGCAAAAATTAGGATTTGATGGGATTACAGTCAGGTTCTCACGGTTTTTCGATTCATATCTCTTCGATAAACTGTAGAAGTTTCAAGGCGTTTCCAGCTGTAAATTATGAGTGAGGAAATTGTCTAGCATAGGAAGTATTTGTCCGAAAACGTTCATTTTTAGACCAACTTTACTCAAATGGCCAAAAATCAGAATTTAGTGCGATTAAGGTGAAAGTTTCTAGACTCATCTGTCTTCTCTAAAATGGGGAAGTTTCGCGTTGTTACCCGGTGTGTATTAGAAGTGAGAACATTTTCAAAAAGAGGACGCATTTGTGCAAAGTCTCCAAGTGGGCAAAACTATTTTTTTTTACGGTTTGGGCGAAATTTACCTCTTGTCTAGATTCACTTATCGTCTATAGACGCCAAGAGTTTCAAGTTGCTGTCGGATTTAAATTGAGAGTTGGACATTTTCAGGCATAGTGTGCACTTGGGCG